CTACAGCAGGGAGAGAACAAACTACAATCAGTAGAAACAATAAAGGGAAACACGAATGGAAACGAAAGGTAACCAAGTAAATTAACACCAATATAGCTGGAACACAGACAAGTAAAAATGTACACAAATAAGGAAGGCGATGCCAGCTCAATAAATCAATCATTTCTGATGCACAATTCCAGCCATCTCAAACTCGATGTCTCATATCATAACCTNTGTCTCAATTGTCAACAGGTGAAATATGAACATCAGAGACCTGGTGGATTGCTTCAGCAGATGGATATTCCCGAGTGGAAGTGGGAGAGGATTACTATGGACTTTGTTGTTGGACTTCCTCGGACTTTGAGGAAATTTGATGCTATTTGGGTGATTGTTGATCGGCTGACCATGTCCGCGCACTTCATTCCTGTGTGTACTACCTATTCTTCAGAGCGGTTGGCAGGGATTTATATCCGGGAGATTGTTCGGTTGCACGGTGTTCCGATTTCTATCATCTCAGATAGAGGTACTCAGTTTACTTCGCAGTTTTGGAGAGCCGTGCAGAGAGAGTTGGGTACTCAGGTGGAGTTGAGCACAGCGTTTCATCCCCAGACGGACGGACATTCCGAGCGTACCATTCAGATATTGGAGGACATGTTGCGTGCCTGTGTTATTGATTTTGGAGGTTCTTAGGATGAGTTTTTGCCGCTTGCAGAGTTTGCCTACAACAACAGTTATCAGTCGAGCATTCAGATGGCTCCGTATGAGGCATTGTATGGGAGGCGGTGTAGATCTCCAGTTGGTTGGTTCGAGCCCGGCGAGGCTAGGCTATTGGGGACAGAGTTGGTTCAGGATGCCTTAGAGCAGGTGAAGTTGATTCAAGAGAGGCTTCGTACAGATCAGTCGCGTCAGAAGAGTTATGCGGACCAGAAGGTTCGAGATGTGTCTTATATGGTTGGTGAGAAGGTCTTGCTGAAGGTTTCGCCCCTGAAGGGTGTTATGCGGTTTGGAAAGAAAGGGAAGTTGAGTCTGTGGTTTATTGGACCTTTTGAGGTACTTAGGAGGATTGGGGAGGTGGCTTATGAGCTTGCCTTGCCACCTAGCTTGTCAGGCGTGCATCCGATATTCCATGTTTCTATGCACCGGAAGTATGTTGGGGACCCGTCCCATGTATTGGACTTCAGCACGGTTCAGTTGGATGATGATTTGACCTATGATGCGGAGCCGGTGGCTATTTTGGGTCGTCAGGTTCGGAAGTTAAGATCAAAGGATATAGCTTCGGTGAAAGTGCAGTGGAGGGGTCGGCCCATGGAGGAGGCTACCTGGGAGACCGAGCGGGAGATGCGGAGCAGATATCCTCACCTGTTTGAGGCTTCAGGTATGTTTCTTGACCCGCTCGAGGACGAGCGTTTGTTTTAGTTGGGGAGGATGTGACGACCCGACCCGTCGTCACGTGAGTTACCGCTTCGTTTCCCCCATTTTCAACTTCTTTATGCTTCATTATCCGTATCCTATGTGATCGAGTTGGTTCGGAGAGGTTTTTGGTAGGAAATGAGACACTTAGTCTCTTTAAGGAAGGTTTGGTTTGGAAAAGTCAACCGGATGATGACTTATGAGTTAGAAGGCTCGGATGTAATTTCCGGTGATTCGGTTAGCTTCGGGGGATGATTTGTGACTTAGGAGCGTGATCGGAAGTGATTTAGGAGGTCCGGCATAGAATTAGGCTTGAATTGGCAAAGTTAGTATTTTGGCGAATTCCGGTTGATAGGTGAGATTTTGATTCGAGGGTTGGAATGAAATTCCGAGAGTTGCGGTAGCTTCGTTAGGTGATTTGGGATGTGTGTGCAAAATTTCAGGTCATTCGGAGGTGTTTTGGTTGGGTTTTTGATCAAATGCGAGTTTCGAAAGTTTTGGAAGAACTTAGGCTTGAATCCGATGTAATTTGATGGTTTTGGTGTTGTTTGAGGTATTTTGATGATTGGAGCAAGTTTGAATGATGTTTTAGGATGGGTTGGCACTTTTGGTTGAGGTCCCAGGGGCCTCGGGGTAATTTCGGATGGCTATCGGGATGAATTTTGGACTTGTGATATTGCAGAAATTGCTGGTTCTGGTATTTCCGCATCTGCGGAACTGGGACCGCAGATGCGGTCTCGCAGATGCGGCAAAGGCGTCGCAGAAGCGGATGATTGGTCATGGAGGATTTTTCGCAGAAGCGGATAGTCGCCCGCAGAAGCGGAGCCCGCAGGTGCGGATTTTGACCGCAGAAGCGGTCCTGGGCATTTAGTGAAGCTCCGCAGAAGCGGAAGTCGCAGAAGCGGAAAGCTCACCGCAGATGCGGTATGTGCTGGGCAGAAGGGTTTTAAAATTCCATTTTTTGTTCTGCGAGCTAAGTTATTTTTCCACCATTGTTGAGCATCCTTGACAGCTTTTGGACGGGAATTGAAGAGGGTTTCGACTAGGATTGATTGGAGGTGAGTCCTATGGTCTAAAAACATGATATAATGGTGGAATCAACCTAGAAATTCATGAAAATTTATCAAAAAAGAGGAAGAACTAGGGCTTGAGCTTTGGTATTTCAAATTGGGTTTTGAGGGGTCATTTGAGCTCGGATTTGGGAGTTCTTGATATGTATAGACTCGCGGCGAGATAAGGAATCCGTTAATGTAAAATTTTCTGAAATTCGAGGAGTGGGCTCGGGGCTCGGGTTTTGCAAATTTCGTGATTTTCGATGTTTTTCGATTCTTTTCGATTGGATTATGTTCCCTTAGCCTATTGTGACGTATTCGTTGTGGTTTTGGTCAGATTCGATGCGCGAGGAGGCCGATTTGCGAGGCAAGGGCATAGCGAGCTAGGATTTTGGCCGGCTTGAGGTGAGTAATGATAGTAAATGATATCCTGAGGGTTTGAAACCCCGGATTTGCACAACGTAGTGCTATATTGAGGTGAAACACGCGCTTAATGACGAGCGCGGAGTTGTTTACCATTGGGGATTGTGACTTGGTCCGTCCCGACTTATGTTTTTACCGCGTATTTGACTGAGATGTGTTTATTATTAACATGACTTGGGCCTATTGCCATATTTTGGGCTTCATGCCGACTACTTGAATCCTTCGTGGACTTTTATCACTGTTTCCTCACTATTTTGATATACTACTTGAATTCAGTCCTGTTGAATATACTGTTTTACAAACTCAGCCGCTTTAATTGAACTTTGAGACTTAAATGATATTCCACTGCTGTTTGGACTGAGCACTACTATTTTATTGATGCCCGAGGGCTTATGATGTTTTTTGGACTGAGTGAGGCCGAGGGCCATATGTGACAGTATGCTGAGTGATATGAGGCCGAGGGCCTGAGATACATTTATATGCCACGAGGTGGCTTGAGTGACGTGAGGAGGCTTTCAGGCCTTGTAAGTGATGTAAGGAGGCTTTCAGGTCTTATGAGTGATGTGAGAAGGCTTTCAGGCCTTATGTTAATATAGCACTTGGGCCGTAAGGGGCCCCTCCAGAGTCTGCACACCCACTGTGAGCGCAGGTACCCATGTGATCTGAGAGTGAGCCTGAGGGGCTGATACTATGCTGAGTGACTGAGAGTGCCCGAGGGGCTGATACTATGCTGAGTGAATGATACTGAGCCCGAGGGGCTGATACTGTTCTGAGCGATTGATACTGGGCCCGAGGGGCAGATTACTACTCACTATTTACTTGTTGTTTTACCTGATTTACCTGTTTTAAAAGGAGATTTCATTTGTTTCTTTACGGTTTTACTGCTTTAAGTGATTTACTGCCTGATATAGAATTGCCTTGTGCACTTATGTGTTTTCATGCCTTCGGTTATTATTTATTATTATTACTCACTGGGTCGGAGTACTCACATTACTCCCTGCACCATGTGTGCAGATTCAGGCATAGCAGAGTCCGCACCTGAGCGCTAATTCCTTCCAGACCAAGCAGCGATTTGCAGTTACGAGGTAGCTGTTGACATCCGCAGCCCCCTTGTCTCCCCTATCCTCTATCATTTATGTTTCTCTTCAGACTATTATATCAGATATCATACTTTGTAGACTTATAGCAAACTCTGTAGTAGCTCATGACTTGTGACACCCCGATTTGGGTTGTGTCGGGATTATTTTCCCTTGTTATTATCGTTGTTCCCGCGCTTATGTTTATCGTAAACATGTGTTAGAATTGTTAATGTTAATTAATTGCTTTAAAAGAGGTATTTGCGTTGTTCTGGCTGGCCTTGTCTTCACGAGAGGCGCCATCACGATCAGGTTCGGGATTTGGGTCGTGACAGCTAGTAAATTGAATTAAATTGCCACTAAAAGAAATAGGCTATAATGGCAATTGTGTAGCTGCAACTATAACAAATGCTAAATCAAATTAGTTCTCGATTAAAGATACCCTTTTAGCGGCAAATAAAGAACCAAACTATCTTTAAACTACAAAAATGCTAATAAAATACGCTACTTAACTCATAAAAATATAATATATTTCATTCAATCTAGAAAAATAAAAGAAAGTATTAATTCTTACTACTGTATCAACGACATGTAAGATAAAATTACATTGTTCAAACAAAATGACCTATGTTAGTGCTAATTCTATATAATATTCATAATAACAAAAGAGTAGAAGCCCTCAAACAATTCTGCAAATCTTCCTCGTACTGAAATCTTTCACATCATACTGTTTAACCTGAAATAACAAAATAAGTAATGTGAAAAATGAATCTCCTTTTACTCATTTACTATTTCTATCATTTAGATGATAGTCCTATCTAAAATACAATAACTCGTACAGGCACATACATGTACACCAGTTCTGGACAAATAGAGAGGCAAATGAATATATACATGTACACCAATTCTGGACAAATAGAGAGGCAAAGGAATATATACATGTACACCAATTCTGGACAAATAGCGAGGCAAAGGAATATATACATGTAAACCAGATGTTGTGACATTTGGGATTCTCATCAATCATTTATGCAAAAGTTACAAGGTCGATGAGGCAATGCAGGTGTTTGAGAAGATGGGAGGCAGTGAAAGTGATGGCATTCTTGTTAAGCCAGACCTTGTTCTCTACAATACATTGATTGATGGGCTTTGTAAGGTAGGGAGGCAAGAAGAAGGGTTTAAGTTGATGGGAAATATGAGGCTGGAGAGTGGATATGAACCTAATACCGTTACCTATAATTGCTTGATAGATGGTTTCTGCAAAGCAGGCGAGATTGAGAGGTCATACGAGCTTTTTGACCAGATGAAAAAGGGCGGGGTAGTGCCAAATGTGATTACTCTGAATACTTTGGTTGATGGAATGTGCAAGCATGGGAAACCTGATCGCTACACCTACAACACTTTGATATCATATTTCAGCCAGAAGGAGCAATTTGCAACTGCCCATAGAGTTATGAAGAGGATGATTGATGATGGTTATTTTCCTAATGTTGTTACATATGGAGCACTAATTCATGCATATTGTTTAGCTGGAAATGTTGATGAAGCTATAAAAATATTCCAGAATATGTGTTCTTCTACAAATGTGCCACCAAACACTGTCATATACAATACTTTGATCGACGCTCTCTGCAAGAGTGACAAAGTAGAAACTGGTATTTCTTTGTTGGGTGATATGAAGGACAAAAGGGTAAGACCAAATACTATCACATACAATGCCATATTTAAAGGCCTTCAGGAGAGGAATTGGGTGGAAAAGGCATTTGAAATAATGGACCAAATGACTGAAAATGCATGTAATCCTGACTACATTACCATGGAAGTCCTAACTCGAAACGTTTGTGCACTAGGCTAGCCATTCGGTGGCCTAACACCATTAACCACAAGATGATCATATGCAGTTGCCCGATTTACTTGATAGTATAGCACACACTGTGAACAAGGACATGAAATTGTTTCTCTTTCACGAAAGGCATAGTTTAGAAAATTCTCTACCCCATCCAAATATTCTTTACTGACTCTATCATAATACATCCATTTCTTACTTCTAGGCTTGTCCATGACTGTCCAAGGAATTTTTTTTCTTTTCTGCAATTACAATAATAGCTAAAAATAATTTAGTACAAAAGAGAAAATAACCTAAATGGTAGTTGTAGAAAAAATGTAGTTATAGATGAGATATTAACATGATTATATAGCTCAAAGAAGTCATTTCAACAATAAAAATGCACTATATTTTAAGGACTGGGAACAAATTAAAAACAGTAAGAAATGCACATTAAACTATTATTTGGTATTGGAACACCAGTTTCTAGTTTATTTTTGTACTCTTAATCTTCAGTTTCTATATCTACATTCTATGAAAGTTCCTTTGTTTTAAGATGATGTTTTTTTTACTAATGACAAAGCAAAGTAACTAGTTTAGTACTATTTTGAGGCTCCATAGTGTCTGACTCTTAGGAGATAGATTAAAGTCTTTTTTTATCGATTATCAGTTATTACTCTACTTAACACCAGACAAGAGAAAAAAGGAACAAGAAAAGACACAATGTGCTATTTAATTTACTGGAAACAAGACTATATATGTAAAAAGGAAAAAAATCCAATGGTACAAACAAAATAAAAACAAAGAATAACACGGGCTATCGGAAGTACAAAACAAGAATAAACAGAATAACTGAACAATCAATTTTAATAAACCAGAAACCTAAACCATATAGACAAATCATTACTTAAAAAAGAGACAAACATTATGATAATATTAACACATACATTATCTTCATACTTAGGTTTATTGTAAGCAAAAACAAATATTCAAATTACCTTTCCTGAACAGAAAAATCAAAAAAAAAAATTGTGCGGAGTAAATTTTTTTCAGGTAGGAGGTGTGTCATGATTTGAGTAAAGGAACAGATGCTACAGGTGTTAGACATGCTGTGCAAGTTGGAAAAAATGGAGGAAGTAGGGATCCAGTTGTTCCTGTAGGAGATGCTTCAAAGTGTGTGACTGCATCAAGTCGTGATAATATTCCAGTTGATCGATCTCTAGCTAGAGTTTCCAATGCAGTCAGTTTGGCTAGGGATATATTGATGATGAAGGGGACTGATCAGGTTGTTAAAATTGGGAATCCTATGGTTGAAATCTCAGCAAAAGTTGATGAAGATCGAGCTGTTATGAATCGAGTGGAACATGTGGCTTTTCAGACTGCCACAACTGATCGAGTTGCTGCTACAGATAATAAGGGAGCTGTTAAAGATGTTCCTAAGGCAGCTGTAGTTCAAACAAAAGCTGGGCAATTTCTTGAAGAGAAAAGAGGTGCTGAACAGGATAATAGTTTGAAAGACATACCTACTACCACAATATTGTCAAGAATATATACAGCATTGGGAACAGCTGCACAAATTGAGGGTGCTACTATTGGTAATGAGCGGGCTGTTTCTCAGCAGGAAATAGCTAAAAAAACTGGGGCTGAGACCAGTGGGATTTTGGCTGATCGTGTAGGCAATGAGGTGCAGAAATAATATGGAATGACTGAGCAACCTTGTAATGTTGAGGCTGCTGATACACACCAACTATCAGGATCACAGGTATCTATGAAAGCTAATCAACTTGCTGCTGATGGTGTGGCTCGGGAATATGCAGAAAACTCAGTTAGGCATGTATGTCCAGCAGATATCCCTACTGCTACCTTATTAAGAGCTGAAGTTGCTGTGAAAGGGGCTGATGCTAAGTGTGCTAGAGCTCCTGGTGCTGGACAAGATAGAAAGGAAGCTAGGCAGCAGAGTAATATGGATAACTGGACAATGATTTCCAGCAAAAAAGCCACTCCAAACACTAAGAAAGTGCAGCAAACTGAAAAAGCAGGTACAGTACGTGAAACTAAGGAGCAGTCTCTCAAATCTCCCCCAGGTCTGGTGTACAAACAATTGTTACTGCTAATGTTGGTGCACAAACTATTACTGCTGATACTGGTGCACAAACAGCTGCTACTGATGATGCTGGCGCACAAACAGCTCGACTGGAATTTGCACCAGCTGCTACTGATGATGCTGGTGCACAAACAGCTCGACTGGAATTTGCACCTACACGAGCTGGGCAACTGAAAGGAGTATCCCCTAACTCATTGACTAAGGTTGATGGGATAACAAACAACAAAACTAAGGGTGGCTGGAATGAAGCGGTGCGATCTTCAAGTAGTCAAGGTAACACTCCGTTGGTGGAAAATACGCGGCAGCAGTCAACTTTCCCAGTTGTGCGACAGAATGTCTCAAAAGCTATCATAACTCAAAATGCTTTTGATGCACTTACACATGAGGAGGATGTTGGAGTTAACTTACCAGCCTTAAGAGATGATAATGTGCGGCAGATAATTCTGCCTCGTCCTAGCAGTGAGGGGCAGTCTAACGGGCAGAGGGTATCAGCTGTGCAAGACAACAAAGCAGGGTTGTGTGATCGAACTAATGATGCAATTGAAGTAGTTGAAAAGGCTGAAGCTACTGATGCATTGAATGGAGGTGCAAAGAGGGATAACACTTCTGTAAAGAAGATTGAAAACTGGACAATAGTATCCAGTAAAAAAGGAACTCCAAACAATTTTAAGATGCAGCAGACTGAAAAGATCAGTACAGATGCACTAGCAACTGTCTAGATCGCAGCAGTAGACTTGAAGAGTTTTAAACAGTCAGGTGAGATATCAAACAAGGCTTTGATTTCAGACCATGAACGGGCACTTTTGGATGCTTTGGACAGTCCAAAACCTCATAAATATGCATATTCAGCTGGCTCAGAAACGACTTCACAGATGCATAATCATTAAGAAGCACCTAAGACGACCGCTCGCAAACTATAACTAAAATTCATTATAATGCAATTTTGCTCAATGAATCAACACCATTTAAACACCAAATAAGCCGCATTATACAAAATGAATTCATGAAAACTAAATAACACTATAAAACTGTGGAAAACCTAACTACCCAATACTTTTTTTTTTTTAGAATCTTTAATTGCCACATGAATTCCATGGAATGAAGTTTCAGATTTTTTTCACCATTAAATTTCACTATTGACACATCAGAATGATAAAAAAGTGTTCAACCTGAAGTTTAATTTGATATTTGAATTTTTGAGAAATTAAAATGTATAAAATAATTGGGAGGGAGAAGTAGCACCATAGAATCCAGAGATATAGCACAAAAACAAATATCTCAGTAAGCAAAAACTGCAAACCAAATTAAAGTTATAATTATTAATAGAAAAAGTTTCATCCTTCACTTCAAGAACATGAATCAATCTGACAATATCCTAAAAGATAGAGATAGAGATAGAGGTGTATAAAGAGAAATTAAGAGAAAGATATAAAAGTATAAAAAAATAGATAGAAATCATACCTTTCAATTGGCAAAAATTTTGGTTGCTAGAGGCGGAGGTTTTCTTACACCATGAAAATTGTAAAAGCTTTTTTAAGAATGAGACCTAATTCTTAGAGGCGTAGGTTTTCCTTTTTTAGGCAAATCAGAGAAGTGATATAATATTTAGGCGGGAGAAGATTTAGAGGGGAAAAAAATTGGAGGGAAAAGAAAAAGTAAAAATAAAAGCTTAGCAGACTAATTCTCTTGAATCACCGCCAAAAATATACTTATTGCTGACAAATATTTATTAGCTGCTAATGTTTTGCCTTCACTAAATAATTTAGCAGCAATTAAGTTATTGCCATTAAATAATTGTCGCTAAAGACCTTTTTTGTTGTAGTGTCAGCCGGAGAAAGACGTTCTTGCAGAGGAGAAAGGAGCTTTAGAACAACAACTGAGGATGGTCTCCGCTGAGCTAGCGGTTTTAAAAGCTTCTTCCAGTTAAGTTGAGAAAGATAATGACAGACTGGAATCCTGAACAACATTCCAACGCTACTGAAGAGGTAAAGAGTTTGAAAGAACTCTTTAATCATAAAAAAGGTTTACGCGGGTGATCTGGTACAGATGCTTACCCAAGCTCAAGAAGACCTCAGTGCCTCTACAAATAAGATTCAGTTCCTTGAAAGTTCTCTTGCTCCTTTGAAGGTAGCTTATGAAGCCTTGGAGGCGGAAAAAGAAGAATTGAAAGCTGAGAACGAGCAGTAGGAGAAGGATTATGAAGCCCTTGAAGATAAGTCACTTGATGTTAGTTGGACTTTTTTGAACACTCGCTTCGAGACTTTAACTGAAGCTTGCCAGGAAGGTTTTGACCTTAATGCTGAGATTGCAAAGGCTAGAGAAACAATTGAACAGACTCAGCAGCGTCAAAGTTTCTCTACACCCAAGGATGAAGGTTCCAAGGGTGACGGAGATGGACTTGTTCCTAGTGAAGCCGATGTTCAACCCTCTTCTCCTCAAGTTGATCCTTCTTCTCTTGTAGACGATGATCCTTAACTCTCCCTTTTCCTTACTTTTTGTTTAAAGTGTTTGTTTTTTGGTTTTTGGTTGCTTTGGATAATTTTTGGAAGGTTTAGCGCCCCTATTTTTGGGGTAATGATATAAATATCTTTATTGTTATTGTCGCATATTATGCTTTAGCTCTTTGATTTTTGAGCTTATTCTTGCACTTTAAAATGCTTTAATAGACCACGACTTTAATATGCACGAGTTTTTATAAAAGAGGACCCTTTTATATTAACAATACTGATGAAGATGACGTCTCGTCTTCATATTGGTGAAAAGATATGAAACATGAGTAGATATGAAACGAGAAATAATTTGAGAAAGTTTTATTTTTTGAACTCTCAAATAAGTAAGTTCGTACATCATTTTCATAACTGTTCGTACAATATTTTTATAATTGTTCGTACAATATTTTCATAACTGCTTTCATTGTAGCAGGTTTATAATATGGCCTTAACCTAGAAGCTCATGGGAATAATTTGCATCATTTTTGCGAGTTTGAACGCCTTTGAAAAAAAAAATGAAAATCTTAAAGGGTTTCTTCAAGGTTTTGATTCAGGCTGAATTATGCCATTGGTATTCATCTTCCTTCCTTGTGTAACCTTCTATATGCATAGTCCCCCCAGTGTTAGAGCATTTAAGTATGAAATCTCGAATGCTGGATCAACTCCTTTCTTTTGGTCCTTTTCCTGAAAGGAAAGTACAAACGGGACTCGGAGATAATTTTTTAGATGATGACTGCATAACCCTTTTTTCCATCAGAAAAGTTGTAACCTAGACCGAGAATAATTCAGTATTCCGCGTGTCTTTCGGGTCTAATATCATCATTTGGTACGGGCCAGCTTTTTTCCTATCATCTAAAATGGTTAGTAAAAGTCAAATGAACAAAATAAAATCGAACTTGCATGATACCTGATAGTGGTTATTAACCTCGTTTAGAAGTAATACTTCTTCAAATGGATTGCATTCCAATTCGATGGTAACACCTAGCCATCCATGGTTTCCAACTCGTACGCTCCTTTTCCAGCAATGCCTCTAACCCTATACGGGCCTTCCCAATTTGGACTCAACTTTCCTGCATTTGCCGCTTTTGTTGATTGGAACACCTTTTTGAGGACGAAGTCTCCAATCTTGAAGTACCTCAAGTTGGCTTTCCTGTTATAATATCGTTTAATCATCTACTTTTGAGCCGCCATTCGAATTAGTGTTGCTTCTGTCCTTTCTTCTATCAAATCCAAATTTATACGTAACTCTTCATCATTTTTTGCTTCAGTGGTATACATGTACCCAGTATTTTTAAAAGGCATTTTCGGGGCGAGCCTTGGAGTGAGGCATACCAAAAATGCCCCGAGGCGATAGTGTAGGGCGAAAGTCTCAAGAGGCATACGCCCAGCAATTCGGGACATACGCCCTGGCGTTTGAGGTGCATTTTGTAGTGAGGTGTAAGCCCAGACACTTTTTCAAATTAAAACAACATTTTTTGAGTAAATCGTTCATATAATACCCAAATTCTCAAAAATCAGCTTGTAATTACTCAAAAGTTTTGATAAGGAATTGAAATGTATTAAATTTAAAAGTTAAGACCTTTTTTTATTGATTGAAGCCCTAATTTATAGTCTTTCCCAATTCTTTATCTTGTCCGTTAGTCTGCTAATATCTCCCAAAAGCAACGAATATTTAATTTTTTTTACAAATACAAAGAGAACTCCATTATCCTTCATAGCAGCAAGTTCAAAGTTAAAATTGCAGGTTAGTCATCATTTTTGTTCCTCCATGTAGAAAAATTTATTCTTTTCGACTCAAGTTACTCGTGCTGCTAAGTAGCGTATCATAGATTGTTTTGATTGTTTTTTGTGGGGATGAAGCGCGTACACACACACACACACACACACATATATATATATATATATAATATGTAATTTTACCTATTTAAAAATATTTACTGTAATTATATTATTTTATAAAATATTAAAAATTAAATACCCATCGGGCTTACGCCCCGTGCCTCGGGGCTTACGCCTTGCTGAGGCATATGTAAAATGCCTCGCCTTACGCCCATGCCTTTTTATGCACTGCGTGTACCTCGTGCTTGGTTCTCCTATCTCCAC